GGATGCAAAGAATAACAGGAAGGGCTTGTAAAGGTGTGTTCAACAGAAAAAGAAGGTCAGAGATGGTGTAGCCCCACTGATAAGCAATGCTTGAAAACTGGTAACAGCAGATGAGGAGAAGGCTGAGGTGCTCAACAACTCTTTTTTGCCTCAGTTTTCACTGGCAGCCTCTCTTCCCACACCTCTCGAGTGGATGGCTCTCAAGTCAGGGAGTGGGGAAGCAAAGTCCTTCTCACTGTAAGAGAAGATCAGGTTTGAGAGCACCTGAGGAATCTGAACACGCCTAAGTCTATGGGATCTGATGAGATGCCTCCCAGTCTGAGAGAACTGCCAGGTGTAGTTGCCAAGCCACTCTCCATGATATTTGAAGTTGTGGAAGTCAGGTGAAGTCCCAGGTGACTGTGGGAAGAAGCAGTCAGTGAAATGCTCCCAAGGTGCACAGGCAGCAAGCACAGAGGATGTCCTCGAGCACAGGCTTCTCTGGGTGCCCTCAGTGTGGGAGGTGTACAGCCAGGCACTGCACTTCACACTCGTCTTAATGACACTCACTCACAGGACAACAGCCAGAAAACCTGTAGGGCTAGTTAGGGCTGGGAAAGGGACATGCAGACACTCTGGAAATCCCTGGCCAAGCCCAGCCTATCCATCCAGCTTGGTCCCAGGATGTGCACACAGAGGGAGTAGTGGGTTTGAGGTGCTCTGCAAATGTCCTTTCCTGGTGCATGAGTGATGCCTGTGCTGACAGTCCCTGGGACAATGGCACTTGCTGTTGCACTTCTGCCTGCTCTCTGCTCTGCGTGGAAAGGACATGCACAGAACCAGCTCCAATAGGAGTGTCTCCATTGCTGTCTCAAGCAGTGGTGCTCTGACGTGGCAGAGCTGCCCTTCAGAAAGCCCCAGGGCCTTCCTTAGGCTCTGCAGGGGCCCATGCAGGGCCCTAATTACCCTCCAGAGTGCCCCAGCTAGGCTCTGCCTGAGCCCATTGGAGACCCTCCACCCTCCATTCTACAAAATTCTAGAAGTTCCAGATCACATCTGTAGATAATCTGGAGGTTGGTATAGGCTGTTTATGTAAGATTTTTAGCCCAGTCTCCCTTATCTAGATCAAAATAGGACTAAATAATCCAAAATAGGATGCCAGCAGGGGACTCCAATGGGTCCCAGAAAAGCCCAGATGAGGTCCTGGGTCACTCTGGAGGGTAATTAGTGGCCTTTGCAGGGTATGTGCCCAGAGGTGGTTGCAGTAGGATCTAACAAGAGTGGAGTAGAGGGGCAGAATCACCTCCCTCGACCTGCTGGCCACACTGCTTTTGATGCAGCACAGGATACAATTGGCTTTCTGAGCTGAACATGCACATTGACAGCTCATGTCCTGAAAGAGAATTGCGATTGTGCAGCCTAGAGAAGAGAAGGCTTTGAGGTGACCTAACTGTGGCCTTTCAGTACCGGAAGGGCACCTGCAAGGAAGATGGAGAGAGTCTAATTAAAAAGGCATGGAGTGACAGAATAAGCGAGAATGGCTTCAAAGTGGAAGAGAGTAGGTTTTGAATAAATATTGGGAAAAAATTCTTTACTGTGAGGGTGTTGAGGCACTGGCACAGGTTGCCCAGAGAATTAGTGGACACCCATTCCCTGGGAGTGTTCAAGGCCAGGTTGGATGGAACTCTGAGCAGCCTGGTCTAGTGGAAGGTGTCCCTGCTCAGGACAGTGTGGTTGGAACTTGATGATCTTTAAGGTCCCTTCCATTGCAAACCATTCTATGATTTTATGATTCTGTTCCCACATGTCCTCTCATTGGATGTCAGGAAGAACAGCACAGCACCTCCCTCTCCCCTTCCTCAGGAGGCTGTACAGAGCAGTGGGGTGTCCTTTTCTCAAAACTAAACGAAGTTTGGCATCATTCAAGTTCAAATCTCTCTGTTCTTTCAATGCAGCTAGTCTTGGTTTTCTATTCAAACATGTTTAGATGTTGTTCTCTGTACGTTAACACAGGAAAACGCAGCTTGAAATAACTGTCTCAAAATTATTATATTTAAGAATGTTTATTACTGTTTCTGACTCTTCATTGTTTGATGTTTAATTTTAGCGTTTGAATACTTTAGTGCCACGTCAGACTGATTTGCAACTGCAACAGATTTCACAGCGGTTTGAAGCAAAATCTAAGTCAGTAGCAGACAGAATAGCTCATATTCATATTGCAGAGCAGCAGAGAGCTCAGAAGGTCCAAGAAGACCAAATTGCCCGAGACATTGAAAAGGTGACTCCTTGCTCTTTATAGATTCTGAAGAAATATTTTCTTAAGATTATATGCATATCGAGTCACTTAAAGCCAGTGTGAAGACTTCTTAAATCTGTGTTGCAAAGTCATGCTTATACAAGAACAAAGGAAAGGTGTATGCATGGAAATCCTTAATATGTAGATATAAAGTCAATGTACTCTTATGAGACCTTAACAACATTAGTATTTAAAAATCACTTAATGAGAGTAAGATTTAAAAATCACTTAATTGAGAGTATTTGCATATCATCATGCATGGAAAATGTTTATAGATTTGAAGACAAAGGGTAAATTTCACAACTTGTATGAGATATCCTTGTAACAGAGGTTTGTGACATTTTTCTTTTGTGAAGAGACGATGAAGCATCGTTTCAAAGCAGGAAGAAGATAGGGGAAGGTGACCTATAGTGGGTATGGCCTCAGAACATCTTGTGCTTCTGTGTAGCTGTTCTGATAAAGTAAAAAAAGAGGAACAATTTTCTTTAGACTTGGGAACACTCAGCCAAAATACGGCTCACAGTTTATGCAGAGGAGATGGCCAGCTATCCAAGGGGTGTTGAACCATGCTGAAGATGAAGTTGACTAATTTGATATGTTTCACATGGCAAATTAAGGGAGAGAGTGTTGCTGTGGTTATTCAGCTGTTCTATTGCCACTACATGTACAAGAATGAAAAAAATAAAAATAATCCCTTCATGTATCTAGAAAAAAAATACAAGCAATATCAAAAATAAAATTTTAAAGGAAAATTAATTAATATCTTACTTGATACATTATAGATTTTAACTGTCTTTGACTTTTTGTAAAAAAATACTTTTCTGCTCCATTTCAATTTTAACTACAGGTGTCTGTAGTGCACTTTAAACTAGTGTAATTTATATGTTTGTTACTTCTTAATCATCTGAGACTCACTGTTCAACAGTAGTATTACCTAATGGTATCTGTACCAGGAAACTGGTATTCTCAGTTTCTGTGCTGTATGCAGACCTGCAACAGGTACTAGAACTAGAATTCAATGGAAGCCCTTAAAAGCCTGTAAGGCACTGAGCCCAACTTTTATAGATGTGTGTCTATTGCACTGCACCATTTGTTAATGCAGACATAGCATAAACAGATGTACCATTTTCTGATAAAAGTAATTGGAATGTATATCTTCATCCTCAAATATTGAAAACTTATACTAGTATATTGCTAAGCTACCAAATTATTCAGAATTAAGAGTGATGCTTTAATTTAAAATGCATTTTACAACATCTATTTCATGATATAAAAATGGTGATTTATGAGTACAGTGGCTGAGAATATTTTTAAGTCTAGGTTTAAGTGTGGACAAAACATAAAGAATTCTTTGCTTCACAGCATTTTAGTAAATTTGTAAATTAATTTGCTCAAGTCTGGAGCCTGATAAACTGGTCTACCTTCTTCCTGGGATTTTTTTTCCCCTTCTGACTTAATTACATTTACTTCTTAGATATGTAAGTAGTGTATTAATTCATAGATATTTAGGTAGTGTTGTATAGACAATATGTTGTATTTTGTTTCAACCTACATATCTAAACACAAGATGTTGAATATTCAGCATCACACAGGAAGAAGGAGACAAAATGAAATAATGGCCAAGATTCAAACCACTTTTATGCAGATTCAAAAGCTACCACTAAGGCACACCATAAAAGCTATTGAAGCCAACAAATACTTACAGAAGAAAAGAGAAGCAGAGGTAACTATCATCTATGTTCTTTTAATGTTAATTATATGAACGCACAAAACATGATTTCTGGGAGCACTTACACTTAGAAATATTGTACTTGCACATCCAAAAGCTGCTGATATATAGCTGTTAAAATGATATAGTAGACTCAACCAGTGAAAATTGGGCTGAATATTAATGTGAATATGATTCTGCCTTTGTTTCTTAGTAAAAATTGTTTGCTGAAAGAAAAAATTCTAATTGAATAAATACCATAGGTAGGAACTAATTTGATTGCTGAAAGTACGGTAGCTTTTAGTCTACTGAGTAGAATATGTGAAATAAATGCATTACCATTGCTTTTTTTGTTTATGCATATTGAAGTTTTGCACCATAACATGTGAACTGTTCTTTAACACATTATAAAACTATCTGCTCTATTAAAAATGTTAGTAACAGCTGGAATTGACAATAGTGTTAAATCAAGAGATGATGGCAATGCAGCAGTAAAAATTTGGTACTATCTAGTGATCATCTAGTCATTTTCCCTTTCAACTCTGAATGCTCTGTGATTCTGTAGTATTGAAGAGTACTTAGATTGTAATCCAAATTCATGGATTGTGTTGTTATGAGGAGTGCAACTATTGCCAGTTTTTACTGCTGCTAGCGCAACTGTGACAGATGTATTTAAATGTGAAGTAATATAGTTGCTTGAGTAACTATCAGGGATACATTCAAGATACTAAATCTAAAGCAGATCATAGCCCAGAATATCTTGTTTCAAGTCCTGGAATGGTGAGAACTATATAAACTGCTGGAGTCCTATGCAAAATCAAAATTATCCTGCAGAATGAGCAGCTCAAAATTTCAGGACTTTCTGGCTGGTAGAAGCAGGCATAGCTAGGAAATGAGAAGAAGGGAAGGAAGTGAAAGGTAGAAGATGGAGGTAGTGTTGCCTTTATCCTTGATGTTACTGATCCTTAAAATATTTTCAATGTAAGCATTTCTGTTGTACTAACATAGCATAAAAATAATTTCCTAATTCTTGTTCTGTGGAACCTTCTTTATGATGCTTTGTGAAGAGAAATGAAACATTAAATTTTGTGTTACTTCTTCAGAACATGTACAAGGAGATTGAAAATTTTGAGAAGTCTATGGCAGGAAATGCCTCTGCGGTGCACAGCCAGATGACTGACAGGTAATAGTTAGATATTAGATTGTTAAGAATAAACAGGATCCTACTTGTTTATTTGGCAGATCCGACCACCAAAGATGTGATGACCCACCTGTAAGAGGGAGGAAGCACCTAAGATTTGCAAATGTTCATGGTTGAAATGAATGAGAAAAGTAGGTCAGGGGGTCTGTGAACAATCAGAAAGTTCTATTAGTAAATTACACACTTAGCATGGAAATTGGTATATTAGTCCCTGACCTACCAGTGGGTTTGGATAAAGGGATAGAGTGAAGGGGAAAAGAGAAATTAAAAAAGAGAGATGTACTGAAGGAAGGAAAGAAAGAGGGAAGAAAAGGTAAGAGGGAAAGGGAAAGAAAAAAGAGATCACCGGTTCTTGTTCCAGCGTCAATCTGGCAGATGAATCTTGATCCTGTCTTCACTTTGGCTTCAGTGTTGATCCAGCTGATAAGTATTGATCCAGGTGATAAAGTATACAGAGTCCAGGGGGAGCAGCCCTGGTGTGTACTATCTATGTAGACAGCTGCTTCAGGAAAAAGGAATGTCTCCTTTAGTTTAAACCGTGATTGTCCCTTGAGTGTTTGTCCCACTAATACTGCATATATTTCAGGTCCAACACTGTTGCAGTGTTTTTACCTTTAGTTGTAGTAGGAGTGGCTCAAGGTTCCTTTGTTATTTGTTGCCATGTGTATGCATCAACAAAGGACTCAAAGTGCATCCCTTCTCTGTCCATTTTAGTCATTGAGTAAGTCAGGTCAGTTAGCCTTGCAGAGAGATGGGAATGCTTGTGGGGGTATATACACAGTAACACACTTGAAAGGAAATAGAAGTAACCTTTCTCCTTAAATTTATCTTTATGGTGTTTGATTTGTGAATAAGTGTAAGCAATAGTAATTCTGTCACCTTTAATAATAATATATACCATACTCAGAAGAGGTGGCACTCATGCATACTGCTGTGGATATTTCTGTGTGTAAACCTGTGATTAATAATTGCAAAACTGTACTCAGAGTGTATGGATATATCAAGGAGCAACCTATCTTTCTTTGACCTCCTGTGAGCCATCCTAATTTCCTGTTTCTGCAGAATTTGGCTTAATGTTGACCAAGGAACTAATTGGCAGCTGGCTCAAGTCAGTGCTGGATCATGTCTCTGGACTTAGTGTTCACTGTGGGGCGTAAGAGCATTAAAAAGTAGCTACAGTGCCCACAGAGAGTAATGCTGGGCATTTGTCAGACTTAGACAGACTTCTGTATGGAAACACCTTTGAGAGCCGTGTTTCCTTTAAAGTCAGCAATCTTTTTCTTCTGAATCTTTCCAATCAGTGATATGGAAGAATCATTGCAAACACAGAAGGTGGAAGAAACAACTCAGGAAACTACAGCACCGACACAAACTGAGCTGTTAAATATTTATTCAGATGATCACTATGTAAGGAAAATTCAAAAACGTGTAGAGGAAGATACATTTGCTGGAGAACAACAAGCAAAGAGACGACAAAAAGTGTTAGTGGAACTGCTAAGAGCACACGAAACTGAAGAGGTGAGAAAATGTATGCTTAGGTCATGTGTGTTGAATCCACTACAGTTGAGTCTATCTCAACTGCAGTTGCATAACAATAGCATTTCAGATGTGTAGTATCTCTGAAAAGTATGAAATTTTGTATGGGGGTATATATATATATATTTTTAAGCCTTGGCATATAATGTGTGGAGATTTTTGGAAATCTTAAGAAAAAATATAATTTATTAGGGTAGCCATCTAGAAATTAGATGCTTCTCAATTTCTATCTCAGACTTATATTCTTGGAAAACACCTGTAGTAACTGAGACTGAGTCCATCTATCCATGTGAAAGATAACTGAGCATTTGAGTGGAATAGTAGTCTGACCAGATCAGAGAATATATTTGGTGGCAATTTGGTTCTTAATTAGTAGACAGAGAGCTGTTTGGTTGGAACTTTGTAAGATTTCAGAAATTTGATGTTGCTTGGTTTAAGAGAAGTGGGAATCAAACAGAAATATTTTTTTTTAACAAAATATGTGACTATACAAAATAGTTGAAAATTGCTTCTTTCCTGCATCAGATATCAAACTAGAAAGGATTTGCAGACTGAAAGTGTAGCTGCCTTACAGGCATTTGGGTTAGATTTTTACCAATACTGCATGAACTTTGTACAGTCCATAGAATCATTTGGAGTTGAATGAATTTCATCCCTTCAGAGTGCTGTAGCATTTGATATTCCTATGCACAAACCTATACTAAAAGAATTTTGTTCAGATTTTTTTGTTTTGGCACACTACAAGAGCAAAAATACTTTACAGTTACATGGCACTCCTCTGTGGAGCACTGCATAATGCCAGTCAGATTTTCATAGGCAGGTGTTGAAGGTGTTTGACAATAATGTGGCTTTATCCCAAATGAATCTTTATCTACACCATTTCTTCAAATTATTTGTGCTTTGTGCTTGCTATTTTTAAATGCTCTGTTCCAATTTTTATCTGTCTGAATTAAGAAGTTACCAGGAATAATTTACTGATTCTTTGATTCTATCAGCAATGAACTGAGAACTTGAAAATGGGAGAGGAAGTGGCTTCTTACTATCTTATTACTTGTCAACCAAGTAGATTTATGCATGCTGAGCTGTAAGTTTTGGTCGTATGACCACACAATAGCACAGAATTATTTCACTTGGATAGGAAATACAAAACTAGGAAAACGTGATAAACTAATTATGTGAACAATACAAAGCATTAACACGTTAATGTTTGGCCACTGGATGCCACTGTTGTGTCAAGTAGGTAAACTGAAAAAAAAGGGTGTATTATGCATTTCTAATAGTAATTTTTCAAATTATTGCTGAGATGTCCCATTCAGTGTCTACCTTGACTTCAGCAAGACTTTTGACACATTGTCCCACAGCATCCTCATAGGCAAACTCAGGAAGTGTGGGTTGGACAAGTGGACAGTGATGTGGATTGAGAACCGGCTGAGTGGCAGATATCAGAGGGTTGTGATCAGTGGCACAGATTCTGGTTGGAGGCCTGTTACTAGTGGTATCCTCTAGGGTTCTATACTGGGCCCAGTATTGATTAACTTGTTCATCAGTGACTTGGATGAGGGGTAGAGCGGTGCCTCAGTAAGTTCGCTGATGATAAAAAGCTGGGAGGAGTGGCTGATACCTCACAGGGCTGTGCACCCCTTCAGAGGGGCCTCAACAAATTTGAGAGACAGGCAGAGAAAAAAAACGTTTGAAATTCAACAAGGGTAAGCACAGAGTCCTGCACCTGGGGAGGAATAACCCCAAGCACAGTACAGATTGGGCACTGACCTGCTGGAGAGCAGCCAAGTGAAGTAGGACCTGAGGGTCCTGGGGGACAACAAGCTGTCCATGAGCCAATGGTTTGCCCTTGTGGCCAAAAAGACCAAGAGAATCCTGGGATGTATTAGAAATGGTATTGCCAGCAGATGAAGGGAGGTGGTGCCACTCCCTCTACTCAGCACTGGTAAGGTCACATCTGGAGTATTGTGTCCAGTTCTGGGCTCCTCAGTACAAGAGAGACATGGAGCTCCTGGAGCAGGTCCAGCAGAAGGTGACAAAGTTGATTAAGGGCCTGGAGCATCTCTTTTATAAGGAAAGGCTGAGGGTGTTGGGTCTGTTCCGCCTTGAGAAGAGACAACTAAGACAGGATCTCATCACTGTTCATAAGTATCTGAAGGGAGGGTGCCAAGAAGGTGGAGCCAGGATCTTCTCAGTGGTGCAAACCAACAAAACAAGAGGTAGAGACACAAACTTATCCACAGGAAGTTCCACCTGAATATGAGGAAGAACTTTACCATGCAAATGACCACATGCTAGAACAGATTGTCTAGAGAGATGTTTTCCAGAGGTTGTGGGTTCTCCCTCTCTGGAGATATTAAAAAACTGTCTGGACAAAATTCTGTGGCATGTGCTCTAAGATGACCCTGCTTGAATAGGGAGGTTGGACCAGATGGCCCACTGAGGTCCTTTCCAACCTGACTGCTAAGTCTGTGATTCTGTGGTTTATGATACTTATGATTTCTTCAAGCACTTCACAGTCCTCTGTGAAGGTGTTTATATAAAATGTTAGGATAAAAAAACATGCTACAATTTATATTTTGTCTCCTAGTATGTCCAGAAGTTTCAAAACCTGTCACCCTTTGGTTTGAGTACTTTGTCCATTCCAGTTTGTATGAAAGATCCAGTGTTTCACTTCCCCATCCAATTAGTCCCCTTTTTGAAACTCTGAATGTGGTGTTCTGGATCCTTTTTTTATCTGTTGTGTAGCTCTGAGTTAATTGCCTTTTCATTTATTCGTACTCCTCA